AGGGGGTGCTTCCCCCTGGCAGGCAGTGCTGGCTGCTATGCCCTGTGCAGTGCCGGAGGGGTGGGGGCTGTGCTTCAGGAAGGGGTGTGAGTGTCTCCTTAGGGTGCATTGTTCTGCTGGACTTGTCACCTTGTGGAAGGTGTGCACAGAAGCTAATAACATGTAGGGTCGTTAAATACCCACTGGCTTTTCACATGTTTAATTCTTGTCCCCAAAATTCCCACCTCCTCTTCCACTGGGCACAGAAATCTCACTCTGCTGAGCTCATGGTAAAGGTCTGCACCTTTTTACAACAGCTCCAGTGTCCTACACTGGGGGGGTGGGGGGTTGAATGGGTTGATGTTGGCTGGGATCGCTGCTCACTGACGTGGCGCAAAAGCTGCTATGCCCCACAGCATGGGGGCTGGGTGTCACGTTTTGGGGTTTGATCCAAAACCACCTGCCCTGTATCCCTGGGTCCCCTGAAACGCTCAGGTGCTGCAGCTCCGTGTGTGCACATTCCCAGCTAACAGACAAGCATTTACTGAGTGTTTGCAGTCAACAACCCTGGTTTAGCAACACTGACTCCAGCAGCCTGCTTGATACATCCCGCCATGCCCTGGTCCCCAGCAGCCTCGGTTACTGCTAGGAAAGGAACCCCAACACACACACCCCGGTCTGCATTTCCCCAAACCACCTGCCCTGAAATGTCCAGCCCTCTCCTGCAGCATCCAGAGAAATAATAGTGGTCACTTGCTCCATTTAAGAGACAAACTTCAGCTGCTCGCCACGTTAACTGGAGTTACCAGTGATTTGAATTCAAACCCAGCCCTGGGTTGGTTTAGATTAGAATAAACCAAATTTATTAACAAGAGGCCATGGGTTAAGAGATTCCAAATGAAAAGAAACCCAGTTAGAGATGGTTACAAGTAAATCAAAGGGAAAACACACAGCTGAAAGGCTAAAACTCAAGGTAGCAAGGCACGGTCTGCGCTGAAGGTGATTTCACTTTCCGATTACTCTTGGTCTGGCCTGGCTCTCGATCCTGACCTTCCTGGGAAGTGTGAGGTGCTGGTTTCCCTTGTTGTCTTAGGGGGAAGAGAATTTGGGGGTTCACTGCCCCTCTCTCTGTAGTTCAGGAGAACTTGTCTCTCTGTGTTCATTGACACTGCTTCAGGAAGGAAGGTCTCCTGGGGTTGCCTTCTCCCGCCCGGTTGATAGCTGAGTCCTCACCGCCTGTCCATGGTGGCCATATACATCCTAATTCTCTTGTTACTGGCAACCCGGATTAATTTCTATTCAAGCCCTGGCAGACCTGGTTCTCCTTTGTTCAAATACAGACTTTAAAACAGACTCACAGAGGTCAGTCATGTCTCCACCTGCAGCGTTCTCACCTGTGCTTCACAGTGATATTATTGACCAGTGTGGTGGGATTTTCCAATGATAACTCACAAGGCAGAGTTTGTATAGGTCACTGCAGCCGTGTGTAGG